AGCCATTGCCCAAACAGACTACGCTCACCATACAACCACATTGTTAAAAATAAATAAAAGTCCACAGCTAATCAGAAAAAAAAAAATGAAGCAGAGACAGCCTGCATTATTGTTGTGATCTTTTACCAGTGTGCATGGCCAGGAAGCTCGGTGATGGGAGCCTTTAACATCCTAAGATCCCAAATGCGTTATTCCAGACTCATCCTCAGCAGTTACCTAATTGATAATGAACTAATTAACATCACGGCTCAGACTCTTAACATAAGCAATAAAAAATAACAGCTTCAGCAACAAGATCAACAAAGTATATACTAATGCATTCAGGTGATCTTCTTGCAAGCTAATTTGTAGATAATAAGCTCACCTGAAGCTGTATATACTATAATAAGCTACTTTGTAGATACTAAGCTCGCCTGAAGCTGTATGTACTTCAAGTGAGCTTCTTGCAAGCTACTCTTCCTTTTACATATTTAGATAGCTTCCAAGATGAGAATTATAGCCTCAATTATGAGCAATAAATTTAAAGAGCTGAAGAGAAAATACTTAGCATCATTTTAAGACTGTAAACTGCCATTTTGAGAGGGTCAATACACTACCTAGGCTCAGAGTCTCAGATATGTATTTTATGAGATTCTAACAAAAGGTGCTAGACTGGACAATTCTTTAAATTTTTGGAAGTGGTGAGCTTGTCTTGATTTTGAGCACAAGTAGATGATGCACCTTCTGTTAGGATGAAAGTGTATCATCAACCAATTGTACAAAAGATTTATTACTTAACAGGAAACAAGTCAAATAACTGGCAATATAATGGTCATCAGTGTTCATTTCTTTTGTTTCTACATCTTTAGTTTTCACCACACATTGCACAGTTGCAAAAATTCAATATTTTTCATTTAATAAACTAGTTATTGCAACCATGCAAGACATGAAGTTCTTAGGCAACTCAGACATTTTGTATATATTAAAAAATTAGGACTCCTTTGTATTTTGTAACATCACATTTGTGAACCATAATTATTCATATAAGATAACTCTTATGATATTTACCTAAAAAGAGCTTATTATTTCCAACTTAACATTAAGAATCCAAGGGTTGATCAAACCAGTTGTTACGTAGTAACATAATCAAAGCCTTATTCCCAAAAGGATGGGATTGGCAGCATGAAACAAAAATCTATCTCATGTGGTCATCCACATAGATCCTCTCCTCTAGTTTTTATCCATTGTAACTTGATTTTGTGAACCCACATTCTTCATGTTATATTCAACTACATCCATCCAAGTCATTTTAAGCCTCCCTTGGCATTATCCCAACTATCTACCTTCCTTACCCTAGATTCACATCTCACATGCCTAAACCAACATTGTCAATTCCACTGAATCTTATCCTCAATATCTCCACAATTCTAACTTTCCTCCAAATATCTACATCTTTAATTTCATTTTTTAAAATGTTACCACTTCCCACACATCCATCTCCACTAAGAAATCTTTGTTATAGCTATCTTAATATGCTTTTTTTTTTTTTTAAATGGCCAACATTCTTACCAGTATACTAGCTTTTTACTTTTAACCTCACTTTGAGCCCAATGTTACATGACATAAATCTATTCAATACGAGGTACAAAAACAAATATGCAAAGCCCTAAAAATTATGAATTCGGTACAATTATGTACAAAATGAATAAGGAAATTTTTTAAAAAATGTATGTGATTTCCTTTTGACCGATGAATGCTGAAATGTATTTATTTGAGTCAATGGGAGTTTTAAAAGATAAGCGAAATATTTGTGCCAAAATATGTTTTTCCCTGTTTTAGTTAGGAAAGAAATCAATTGGATGCTAACATATGCAAAGCCATAACACAATTTTGAGCTTTAAGAAATCACTTGTCCTCATTAAATCCCCACTTGCCAACCCTTTTTTGATGAGTATAATGCAAAGAAGAGTAAAAGCCAGTGTCACTAGACAACAGCAAGTTTGCAACACCATTATCTTTCCTCCCCTCATTCTTTCTCCTCTCTGGCAAGCAGATTGTGGATTGAACTAAACCTAGACCTGAAATTTAGTTTGAGGGGCTGGTCCACCTGGTTGCCCCATCCAGCAACTTGGAATGGACCGGCATCTTTTCCTGGGTTGCATTTGTTCCGCTATTTGGGGACAAAGGATACAATTTGTGGTTCATGGTTCTGTTTGGCATTCCTAAGAATTATTGTGTGAGCCAAACGGACTAAATTATATGAGTTACATCCTAAAAATTATCTCCATTTCTTTGAAAAATCGATTGGTGGTATTTAAAACATTCACTAACGGGGAACTCCCAACCATATAATGTCACTACATCCTCACTTTGTCTCCTCCTAGTACTATATGATAGTCCATGCACTCAGCTTTACACCTATACAGGCTATACTTAGCCAAAACCCTCAAGATTCAAACTTTTACCTCTATCGCTTCAACTTAGCATTAACCAGCTCTAGCCTCATGTACCAATACAAACTCATTAACGAACAATAAATACAACTCTATCAAATCTTGAACAAACCATGTTACTTCGTACAAAATAAAAGGACTTGGTGTAAACCAATAATAATAGGAAAATTTCTTGTAACTCCACAAGTCCTGTCATTTGTTTCACGTCTTGGTACATATGCTTAAGTAGATTAATAAACTTACGCGGTATTCCCTTCTTTGTCATTGCCCACCAAAAAGCATCTCTCTTAGTACCTTGTCATATGCCTTCTATAAATCAATAAAAAAAACTCTGTGCAAATCCATAAGACTGACTTTTCATTTTATTGAACCATGTACAAAATAATAACAGGTGTGTTTAATTAGATTATGAACAATGAAGGAATGATATTAAATTATAGGAAAAAAAATGTTTATATATATATATATAATATATATATATATATATATATTATATATATATATATATATTATAATATATATATATATATATATATATATATATATATATATATATATATATATATATATCAATACAACTAATTAAGTAAAAAGGCATAATTTCTACCTCGTATTAGTGGTAGAAAACCAACTTTTTATTCTAAGAGTTTGCAAGTTCAAGTATTAATACGCTCTATTTCTTGAAGTTAAAAGAAGAAGTGTAGTGCCACGTGGAGGGAAGATGCCACATGGTAAAGTCTTGCTTAAGACAGCACCTTTTAACATAATGCATGAATTAGAGGTATGGATTCTCGATTTTCATAAACCTAAAATAAGTATATACTTTAGCCTTTTATATTCAGTATTCCTTTAGCAAACAGGTAATTTATTTCTTTTGCAAAAAAAGCAGCTTCATTTTATCCAAAGTCCTAACATTTTTTCTTCTCTAAAAACACGTTTCTCTTGCCCCTTTGCAGAGTGCAAACCTTTATTTTATTTTTATTTTTTATTCTCTTGCCACTATGACATAATCCAACTAGCAACTACAAAAACTACACCTCAATAAACAAATCTTCAATCCGATGTCTCCCTCATAGAGCAAGGGTTTCTGCATGTGACCTAAAATTTCCATGCATGGGCCTCAATGTAAAGGTGGCCCGGGAAGCGGAGGGCTCGTTTGGTAACATTCTCTTTTTTAGTTATTAGTTTGTCAGAACTGAAGTATAATATTTGATTTGGTTGTCTAATTTTCCAAAACTAGCACAAAACAGCCCTTTATTTTTAGTACAGTACACATGACGAGTAAAGATCTAGTGGAGTTATTACTCACAAAACAGCCTTTTTTTTCTTCTCTCTCCACACTTGAATGACCCCTTCACTCTCGTAAATTTAAATTGTCAATGGAGGGTCTCTTGCTCTCAATGTCGTTGGAGGTTGGTTTTTAACTTTAAAGGAGAGAGAAAGCTAGTGAGGGACAGGATAAGATGAGAATGAAAATTTTGAAGCATTGTTCTTCTTATTGTTAATTAACCACCCAATTTAATCACATGAAAACACAAAATTAAAATTCAAGAAGAGAGGAAAAAGGAATGGAGTGAGAAACAGATTGAGAAAAGTAGGAGAAGGAAAAAGGGTGCAGCAACCCAGATGAATATCTGAAAATGAAGGAGAAAGGAGAGAGGAAAGAGAAACCACTAAAAGTGATTTCTGTTTTTTCGCGTGGTTCTGCAAAAAATGGTTAAATTTGTAAAAAGTTATTTTTTAAACATTCTTGGCGAACAGGTTTCAACTTTTAAAACATTCTTGGCAAACAGGTTTTGTTTTGTTTTGGAAATCCTCTCTCTCTCTCTCTCTCTCTCTCTCTCTCTCTCTCTCTCTCTCTCTCTCTCTCTCTCTCTCTCTCTCTCTCTTATATATATATATATAATAAATATCAATATCATCCACTACCACTTTGACGGACGGGGCCATGGAAATCTATAAAGAAAAAACACATGTTTGGGGATGAAATTTCATTACCATGGGCATCATGAGCAGGGGACTTTTCTTATAATATTAAGTACAAATTCACAGCTGATTCAACCATATATTACCACCTTTGAAAGGAGCCGGTAATTTAAGAGAGAAAATAGAATTTTGAGTTCTCTAATTGCTCAGGGAATCCTCTCCCTTAACTACAGTACTGATATGTCAATAGCATCTAAAAACTATTATCCAATTTACAAGTCCTAAAATACTGTGATTTTATATTAGGAATTAAATTGTCCAGACATTCTTTCATATAGTCTAAAGGTATTAGCTATCTTTCCTGGTCCCAATGCCGCATCATTTCTTCCACCTTCACGTCAAAAAATAAAACCTTTTCTTCTAATAGGTAAACCGCCAGCACTTATACGTCAATAGCATTAAAAAAAATAGTATACATCCTACATGCCCTAGTATACTGTGATTTCATGTTAAACTGTCTTTGATATTCACTGTAACAGATTCTATCAATGAATCTGGGAGAAATCATGACCATCAAAAGGCTTCCATGCACCGTCAACTGTTAAAGAATATCTCGTCCAGAGCTGTTGTCTGAACTTTTTTCACACAAGTTGAAATTATGCAAGTGTTGTTCAGCAATTGGGAACTTATGCGCAATCGGTGTGATTGGATAACAATACAGAAAAATCTTCACCAGACCCATATTTTCTGATATACTCCCTCTGCCCACAATTATTTTCCCGGTAAGGCTTTGTCACACATATTAAGAAATCTAGTTGACATGGCCATAAAGTGGTTAAATGTTTACAAAAAAAAAAAATTAAGTGTGGATAAAGAGGGAAACCCTAGAGTTGGAATTGTGAGAAAAAATGCTAATATGACGGAGAAACAAAAAGTAGTAAGAATAAAGACCCAAAACGTGTGGTGTAGGAAATTTTCCTATCAAAACAGATGATAGGAAGATAATTTTGGGACATCTAAAAGAGTATACATGAAGATAATTATTAACTGAGAAAGTAATTCAAATATGTGATGGGCACAGGTCTTTCTTTAGTTTATTTACGAAACTTTTGGATGGAAACTACAATCAGCACTATACTAAAAGCGTTAGCAATAAAGGTTGGAGCTACGACCTTCATTAAGCTAAATAAGCAACTTACCAGAATATTGCTCTTTTTGGCATCATAATCCACATTGCGGGCATGCACTTGCTCAATTGTGTTATTCATCCTGAAGAAAATAGAAATTTTTAGTCCAACAGCACGTAAAACACAGCATGTCGCAGGGAACATATGTTCAGCTAGCAGGAGGCCAAGCTGCCATTGTACAAACATAACTGCCATCAAAAGAAACCTAATTACACATTGAAAAGCAGCTGATGTAATAATATCATTATCTCTAAATAGATGGAAGGCCCCTTAACTGGCATCAAAAGAAACCTAATTACATGAACATGGTCTCTACATAGAACCTTTTCGAGAAAGGCCCATAGACTGTCAATCAAATATAATTTAAAGCCTTGATAGGTTAGATGCCACAAATAAAACAAAGTGGTCAAATAATTGACTTAATGGAGAGAATTATACATATAAAGTAAACAAATCAGTATCAAATAAATCCCGAAAAATGAATCCTTCAGGCTTCAGTAATGTCTGCTGGAAGGTATTTACTTCCTCCAGTCCAAAACAAGTGTCCATGTACTACCTATACTAATTTCGAGACAAACATTGACAAAGAGGAGAAAGTATCAACGGTGAGAGCAAGTATCAGAACATACTTCATTGTCCGTAAATCCCAGAGCTGGATTGCTGATTCACTAGTTAATGTAACAGAATTCACATCATGAGGATCCCATGCTCCACCAGTTAGGTAATGAAGCACACCAGCTGATTCTTGTGACTGTACCTAGAAAACACAGGAACATTCAAATAAAGAATCAGATGATGTTGAATTGAAAGCAGGCACATTTGCATGAGATATAACACATTATAAAGACATAAATACGAATTGATTAGCAAAAATGAAGCCCAATGCAGACGAAAATACAGGTATGGTAGACTCATTAACCTTTTGCAGCCTCTGTAACCATAAATATGTCAAACTCGCAAGCATTTTCTTTCCCCTTGTGCATTTTCAATTTTTACAACAAATCAACAATTACCCAAAATGAATGCCATGTGTGAAGGGGTTGTCGAGGTCACTGAGTATGTTTTTTATTCTACCTAGCACATAGTGGTAATCCTAGTTACAATGGTCCTAAAGAATTAATTTTATCAGAGAAAACGATGAAGAGGATAACATTGTTTATTTGGGAAAAGGAGCAAATAAGGGTAAATAATATAAAGACATCGATATAATACAAGCAAAATTTATACAAGTAATTGTAGCATTAGTTGTACTAAAAGTAGGTCAAAGTTATTGTTAAAAAAAAAGTAGGTCAAAGTTATGCTCTAAAGTTACTCAAATTTTATATCTGTTCGGGGAATCAGACACATATGTGTTAACTAAGATTTGATCACCCAGAGAAAAAGTGACAGATAAGGATTTTCTTTATATGTGAAGTAACAATTTAATATATAAGTGGAGGAAAATTAAAGGATGATATGATGCTGAAGACAAACAATGTTGCAAAATTTGAAAAGTCATTTAGATACATGAATGGATTGGATACAGGCCCTGATAGCTATAGTTGCTGACTGAGAAAACATAGTGGGAAAACTCAAGAAGTGGAATGAAGTAATGGCCAAGTTTGGAGCCCCTTTTGACTAAAACCAGAACCACTTTCATTCTACAGTCGTGAACCCGTCACCAAGTGAATAAATATGGATTAATTATCTCAAGCTTAGAAAGAGACATCTTTCATTAAACTGGTAACTCGTTTAAGGTACTTTATCATTAGGCTATTTCATGGTCTTGAACTCATGATAAATAGACCAACTCTGCATATTCACCACTTACTTCTATTTTGTCCATTCTTTGATCATTTTTAGGCTTCATCATAATTAGTGCATATTGGGAAGATTAGTAGAACACTTAGAAAAGTTTATTGCAAATGATAAAAGTAATATTAGACCATATGTCCATAATAGAAAAGCATAGAGGAAGGTGGTTTAGTATTATCTTACAATTGTAAGCTGATAGAAATAAATTTGCAGCAAGGACAGGTTAAAGACACATCAGAAAATGCTGTAGGAAGCAGGAGCACTTTCACACCTCAAACAGACAAATTATAAAAGTCCTTCTAACATCTGAAGAGCTCAGCTTTTAAAAAATTCAATACAAGTAGCCAAGTCACTTCTCCAGGCAATGTAAGACGAAACTCAGAGGAAATGGGAAACTACCACAATCTTTCTGTTATATACAGGTACAGCTCAATTATGAAGTAGGGCACAAAAATTATATCAAGGACATTCAAGGTTTATGCTTGTTGCAAATACTACATCACAACTTTATACTTCTCAACTATTTTTCATTGCAAATTACCTCAATTTCTAAATAAGTAAGTTGAGAGACCAAAAGAAGTAAGAATTTCATATTTCAAAAATTCCAGTCCACGACCTTTACCTCAGGAAATAGGACCCACAAAGTGAAAACAAAATATACCCTTCTCTACTCTCCTATTAATCATGTCCATCAAAGGGGAAGGGGCCATTGTGGGCTTAGCTTTATTATAAACATATACATCTCCAATTTTAGGGACCCAAATTTTTTACATGAAACCGAACTTCACTGAGAGAGGATCCAAATACCTGAGCGGTCTTCTTTGAAGAATCCAAACTCCACAAGAATAGATTCTGCTCATCAATGCTAATTAATTTATCATGCCTTCCTGTAGGCCACCAAAGAACACTGCAGAATAGACACATTAAATAACTATAGCATTCAAGAATGCTAAAACTGACAAGTAAAAAATAAGAACCCAAACAGCACATTCCACAAATTTTCGATTAGTCAGCAAACTGCTGCAGAAGGCCATGTGCCAGACAGTATAAGTATAATGTCTAACAAAATCCAGGAAAATTTTACAGTAAAAATTAAGGACCTGATCAGAAACAGAAAGAAGGGGAAACAAGAAATTGAAGGATCCAATCCAGATAGCAGAAAAACCACACAAAACAAGGAGACCAGTCTCCTCTTGTGCTTGAAGTAAATGGGCTGATTGTCGAATGCAAGAGAGTAATGGATATTGAATAATGCTTGTTATAAAACTCCCCCTCAATACTTCTTAATACAATAACCAATGCCAATCGTTTGCGCTTAAGCCTAACATTATCCTATCAGTCAGTCTCTAACACTCCGAATTCCAAAACTTAGCCGTAAATCTCCAAACCTGAGAGAAGATCCTAATATTCTTAAATGAGAAAGCGATGGCTGAGCATCTTTTATGCATCAGTAAATGGCATAGTTCCTACTTTCTAAAATTCTTATTTCATCTTTCTTTTCTTCAACTCGATAGCAAATCTTTAATGACAGGCAGAGAATCATAAAGTTACACTTGGAGGTGATAGCATAGCTAAAATTTAAAAGGGATCACCCATGTACAGAGTAGAAGGAAAGGATCAGATAAGTCTCAGCACCAAAATTCACATGTAATGAAAAAAATGGTTAGTAGCCAGTGAACTAACTAAAAAAGTAAAGACAACATGATGACTAAGATCCCTGACTGAGTACGAAGCAAACAAATCAGAACATTCTCCCAAAACTGTATAACTGAAAGCTCACCCTTTAATTTTACTACTGTGTGCATCAAGAGCAGCAATCCTTTCCAACTGAGGCGAATTTAACTGGCCATACAATTCAGGAATCTGCCATATGGCTGCTCCATATGATTCACCTTTATATAAATGGGAAAAATGGTAAGTAACAAGATGGAAAATTTAGAGGGAAAAAGAAAATTTAGTAACTTGGTCACGGGTATTTGTTATAATCATTAGCGAGAAGAATCCAATTCTCCCCGCCATTAAAATTTAAAAGCCGAATAATGCAATCTTATATTACATAAATTACATATGTCCTGGGACAGAAGGACATGTTATTATGAGGTTCATGTTAGAAGAAAATTCCAATCAAACGGAATCTCTCATCATTAAGGCTTATTATTTAAAGTTTTTCTGGTCTCCTTGGTTTGGATCGTGGTTTGAATCTTCTATTGTACAGCAACATGAAAGAACCTTAGATAATGGTGAACGAACAGATATGTGCATGGAATAAAAATATGAGCATAGATAGTAGATAAACCAAACAGATTAAGTTGTCATAGTTTGTTCGAAAAACTGGAGCTGTCTTGCTGATGGATAATGCAGGTATGCATTAAACAGGCAACATCATCATTACAACATACCTTAGTTGAACAAAAACGTGTTTGACTAATTGACTCTCTGCATTTCACTTTCTTTTTTTTTGACGGGTGATCTTAACACTTTGAAACTGGAAATTTTGAATTATGTCAGAAATTTTTTTCAATAAGATGCAATCATCAGGAGATGCTTATATCTAATTTTGTAAGTATGCCCCAATGCATTCCTAGGAAACACCTTGCAATTTCTCCGCAATAAAAGAATATCTTGACACAAACGGTATTCCTTTTCCCTCTCTTCACCGGCCCACATTAAATGACATTTCAAGTTCTGAATTCAAATAAAAATGAAAATACACATGAACCAAGTGAAAAAATAGTTTCGACAAATGACAATCATCAACAATCACATTCCAATATATCAACCAAATGTGCACAAAGACATCAACTAAAGTAGCATTTTCTACAAGTCTAACTACAATAAAATAAATCGAAACGCAAAGAAAGCAATATAATAATCAATGCATTACCATTGAAAAAGACGGTAGAGAAAATACGCTGATCAAAAGGACAAGAAGCAAGGTCCCAGATCTCATTTGGGTGAGAGAACAATCCTTCACATACAAGCTCAGTTCCACCATTAGAAAGACGAATCAAATGCACCTAATCCCCAAAAATATCACCCAAATTTCAGAATTCCTAAAATCTCACATATATATTCATAATATTCAAAAATTATTAAAATCAATCGACAAAACACGAAATTAGTTCATGAAATTCACCTCATTTTCTTCTTTAAGAGATAGAGTACCGGCGATGAAGCTGGTGTGATCCGTATCCGCCTTAACATCGGCAATGCACCTTGCCTGTATGATCAAAAATAAATTGGAAATCGATTAATCAAACAAGTATATAAGAGCATAAAATTGGGGGAAAAATTGTTGGTGATGAACAAGATAGAGCTGAAATTAGGGTTAGGGTTAGAGATAAACCTGATACTTAAGACCATAACCAATGCCAGTTGATCCACCCTGCATTTCTTGATTAAACGATCAAAGTGATGAATTTGCCGGGAAGATCACCAGATTTTTCACTTTTCTATAATCGCTTACAACTTACTAGTTACTAGTTTACTACTAGTAAGAATTCGGGGTACATAATTTGGAGGGCTGCCCAATTTCTATCGAGGGGCAAATTGGTAAATGCACGCTAATTATACTCTTATCTCATCTCTTAGAGCATGTTTGGTTGGAGGTTTTTTTTTTTTTTTTTTATTGGAAACGGATTCAAATAAACCAATACCATTACCAAGTGTTTGGTTGGAAGGTTTGAATAACAATTACCATTACCTAAGGAAAACCAGGTAATAGTTTCCACCAATTGTTACCTCTCTAAAGCCTAAGGTAACAATTACCTTTACTCTCCTCAAACAAAAATAAAGGAAGATAGGTTTAAGTGATTCTAGTCCATGATTAAACCAAACAAATGAAAAGGTAAGAGTTAAATGATTCATTTCCTCCCTTTTATTTGTTTTCTTTCAACTCCATTTCCATTAGTCAAACCAAACGCCCCCTTAGTCTCTTACTTATAGGTTCGGTTGTCTACTACTAAGGGTAAGAATATGAGAGTGAGGGATAGTTCAAGTGGTTAGAGCTCCCCTTTTAGTTTCAAAAGATCCGAAGATGAGTCTAGGGTGAGTGTTTTGGAATAAATTATTTTAATTTTGTAGAGTCTGAAGATAAGTTTGGATTCTCAAACGAAATCATCTACAAACTCTTTATTTGAAAAGCAAACCTACATAAACAATCAAAATAAAGACAAATGAAAGTGGTCTATTTTAGTCAAACTAAGGGGTCGTTTGGTTGGATAATTTGGAATGGATTGTAATGGAGTTAGCATACATTTCATCTATTTTTTTTGTTTGGTTGAGGTTTTTAGTGATGGAATCTCATACTGTAACACCCCAATAATTCTCTCTTCCAAACCTGTATTAACCTGTAATAACTTGTGGTAACCTGTAAATACTTTTAATAACCTGTGAGAGAATTACTGGTGTGCTACAGCCACGTGTTAAAACGTTAAGGCTAGTTTCAAAAATCAGCAGCGGAAAACTAATTTAGTTTTAAAAGAAAACGTAAGTTTCAAAACTAATAATCAAAACCAAATTTAGACTTACAAGTTGGAACCATAACGGCCTTTATCCAAACCCAGTAAAATAGAAAGTAAATGGAATTAAAACCAAAATAAAATTCGATTTATGATATAAAATAAGCTAAGTGAATAACCAACGCTCCACTCAAATCCCATCACCCTGATGCAAATCAGTTTATGCAAAAACCTGTGGTTAATCTGCTCCCCAATTTTACAAGTGTAAGAATTGGATCATTACAGGGTCATTGAAGGCAAAGGCCATGACCAAGAGGAACACACAAAAGCACGTCATCAGCAACGCTGAGTACATACAAGCTACGAAACACAGTAAAGAGCCTTAGCATGATACTAACAAGCATTCCATACACTCAATATAACCATTGACTCGAACACATGATTCAATTGTTACTTATTACAAGGTTTTTATTTAAGTAGCATTGACCACTTCATTAATTGATTGGATTAAGCAATAGACCGGGTTGTCCCCCTGTGCTCCATTCCGAAACATTAAATAAGAAAACCCTATGCCTCCTTTCGGAAGACATTAATAAACATCTAATGGCAGACGGGCGCGACTCCGTGGCCATAGCTAGTATGAGATCTCATCTAACTCATTATAATTTTAAGAGAATTTAAAACAAGAGAGTCGTAGATCAGACGGCCTCTGAAAAGTACACGGCTAATACCCCGTGAACCCCAACCCCTATTTGTCATTACTCTAGATGTGCACAAATCCAGAGTTTTATTGCTCATCCTTCTTGCACTTTACGTGATTTACCAGTTTAGATTAGGTGATGACTCGCATGCAATCAACACAACCAATCATACATCAATCATACAAATCATTCAAGTTTCCAATTCAATTCTTAATTTATTAGTGACAAACAACATGTATTATTGCATCCTTTAACTACCTCGGTGTATAAACACCTTAAATGCATAAGGCACCTCATATCCACAATCTTGTCTTATAAGACTTTAACTCTTCCTTTATTCATTCCATTTCAATACAAATGAATAAGTAATTAAAATGATTCATTCCATATATCCTTGTATTTTTGCCTCTAAGCTCACTTTGCAAATTATTGCATAAATAATGCTCATAAGGAAAATCAATGCAAATTTTCTCATACATAAATTAAACCAATCATCACATTTATCATCAATCAACTCATTACCAAACAATGTCAACCAATCCACAAGTTCCCTAGCATGATTCTAGGTTTTTTTTTCCAAGTCCCTAAACATGCTCCTAGAATCAAGTTTCTCGTATTCTTATACGTACCTTAATTAAATCATCTTTCCAACTAGCCACAATGCTAGAAATTACTCAACTTAAAGTCTCCTACAATACCATATACATAAACTCAATTACTTCCTTGATTACACAAATTTCTAGCAACTTTTAAACACTTTAAACCTTCTCTAATAAGCCGAAATTTTGGTTTAAAACCTTTAAAACTCTTTCTTTAAGTGGGTAATTAAAACCACAAAGTAAAAACTCATTCATGGTGTTTATATAAAAATTCCAGCACACTTTTTAAAATTTAAACCCCCCAAATAAATCTGAAAATTATTTTTAAAACATTAAACCTTCGTCAAAAATCAAAAACTGTCTGAAAACCCTATTTAGAGGCTGATTTTGGCCACGAGAGGGTGGTGCTCACTACCAAAGTTAGTGAGTTATGATTAGAACGTTGTTTACACACGGAAAACACTATTTTTTTTGTAAAAATCGAACGAGTTACAATATCAGTGTGATTAAAACGGGATTAAAAATAATTAAGAACGGAGATCGGAATTTGATTACCCTAAAATTCGTTTTTATGTTTAATAAATCTTTATAAATTCAATAGGAATGAAATCCTTAATTTAATTGATTATTAGAACCCTAAAAATCAACACTTTAATAGTTAAAACCCTAACTTTTAATACTTTATAAAAATCATAATTTAAAACACTTTACAATATGAAATTTATAATTTTTAATCATTAAAACACAATTATAAAATATACTAATCACGTTTCAATAATTAAAATCTAAAATCCATAGTATATAATTATAGGAATAATAATTAAAACAAGAGGGGAGATAAGGGTGGCTCACGGTGGGGTGGTTGCCGGCGATTTTTGGGCGGCCGGAGGTGGCTCGCCGGCGGGATGTTGGAGGCGGCAGCAAGGTGGTGCAAGGTGGCGTGAGGTGGGGGTTTGTTTCTCCCAAAACCCTCACGTACAGCATCATAAAAAAAAAAAGAATAAGAAAAGAAGGAAAAGAAAAGAAAAGAAAATTAAGGGAAAAGAAAAAAAAGATTACTTACCCCAAAATCTGATTTTTGATCTCTTGTGTGGGAAAATTTTGGGATATTGAGAGGTATTTATAGAGTAGGGAATAAAGACTAGGGTTGGGCTTAAAATAAATAGGCTTTAGTTATGAAATATTGGACCCACAAAGGTTCAAATAAAAGAATTGGGCTTACTTAAATGAAATGGGTTGGTCCACAAGGAGTATGTAAGGATTGTTTACATACTATTATTTAAACGAGCTTAAACGATTAATAAACGTTTAGCCCAAAATAAATTATACTTTTATAAAACTCAATAATTTAAATACTTTAGCCCTTTAAATATTTAATTAAAATACTTGAGTACTTTACAAATATATTTTATAATTAATTAAATAATTTATAAAATACATAAAAAATATGGGGTATTACACATACCCATGGGGTTCTAACTCTACCCCATACCTATGGAATCTCATACATACATCTCCCCTAAGATTATTCACAATCCATTCTATTTAATGAAGTATATAATTCATTCCAACAATAAAATCAATACTAATGGATTTTTAGAATCCATTCCTCTCTAATATGAGATTACATACCAATCCATTCCAATATAATGAATCAAACACCCCCTAATTGCATGGTAACTCGTTACCAACAATTTAATGCACACCTATTTACAATGGCTATTTGATTGTTATTCATTATTACTTCAAATATCTAGTTTAGATATTTGGTTAGAAAGTTATACTGCTTACACGGTTCTCTAAGAAGTTTATCATGGTTATTAGGGCTATTATGATGTAATTACACCTCACACTAAATTAATGATACTCTGACTTCATTTTCTACAATCTACTTTCTTCTTCTTTCTCTCTCTATATTTCTCTCTCTAAATTTGGGTTTGTACATGGTATCAGAGAAACCTGGAATTTTGAAGCTGATTTCTTTAGTGTTTGATGCATAATTGCATAGTTTTTTCTTTAATCTCTTATTCTTTGATCGATTAATCGATTTCTTGATTGATTTCGTCTTCAATTTCTTCTTCGATTACACGATTTTCTTGATCGGTTTTTTGATCGATTCTCTTTGACTATCTCAATTTTCCAGATATTTTTTTAATCTTCTTGATTTCTATAAGGGCGATAAATTCTTAAAATCAAATTCAGAATCAAAATACAACGTTAACTTCGTTGATCCTTACTACCTCTCTAATGGAGATCATCCAGGTATGCAGCTTGGAAATCATATTCTTACTAGTTCGGTTTTCTTAATTGGAGTCGTACTGTTTGTATGGCCTTCATTTCTCGTAATAAACTACAATTTGTTGATGAAAACCTTCCTTCACCAGGTGTTGATTCACTTGATTATCATAAGTGGATTCGCAATGATTGTATGGTGATGTTGTGGATTCCGAACATTGTTGATAAAAATTTAGCTGAGAGTTTCATGTTTGTTAACTCATTTTCTAAATTGTGGAGAGAAATTGCTGAGAGATTTAGTTAGAATAATGCACCTCAATTGTTTGAGTTTCTTAGGAATTTGAGCTCTATTAATCAGAAAATGATATTCTTGCTGAATATAATATAACGATCAATTGAATTGAATTGAAGAGTGTTTGGGATCAATTGCAAGTTCTTAAAGGTTTTACT